GGGGGGGGTCACACAGGGTGGAGGGACATGGGGTGGGGGCTGCTGCAGGTCCTGGCAGGGGTCAGGCAGGCCCCAAAGGGTGGTGGCAGCAAAGGGTGGTACCCACAGGTAAACGGTGAGGGAAACTGAGGCACTGAAGGGTCACGGAGGTGTGGGGCTGGTTTGGGGGGCTCTGGGGGGTTCCTGCCCATCACAGCCCCATTGTGCCCCCGCAGGCAGCCCACCATGGCTGACCCCAGCCACATCCAGTCGGCCGCCTCCAAGAGCATCCGCCCCTTCCGCTCCAGCGAGGAGTACCTGGAGGCCATGAAGGAGGATCTGGCCGAGTGGTTCAACACCCTCTATGACCTGGACATCCAGGTGGACACCTTCCTGGAGAGCCTGGAGACGGGATGTCACCTGTGCCGCCATGCCAACAACGTCAACCGCACCGCCCTGGACTTCCAGGAGCGGCACCCCGAGGCAGCCGCCCGCATGCGGGTGCCCCAGAACGAGGTGGTCTTCCAGGCCAAGAACGTGGTGCCCGGCTCCTTCATCGCCCGCGATAACGTGTCCAACTTCATCCAGTGGTGCCGGCAGGACCTGGGCATCCAGGATGTGCTCATGTTCGAGACCAACGACTTGGTGCTGAAGAAGAATGAGAAGAACTTTGTCCTCTGCCTGCTGGAGGTGGCCAGGAGGGGTGCCAAATTTGGGATGCTGGCCCCCATGCTGATCCAGATGGAGGAGGAGATCGAGGAGGAGATGAGGGACCAAATGGCCGACGGCGCGCTGGGCACGCGCCGGGAGAGCCGGGACGCCCAGGCGGGCGCCTACCCCAGCCGGGCCCGGCCCATCAGCCTCTGCGACCTCAAGAACCTGGACGAGCTGGTGAGACACGCGCTCCCCTGGGAGCCCTGTGCCTGGGTGAGGGCCTCGCCGGCCACCCAGCGCTGCGCTGGGGCACCGCGAGGGCCTCACGGGCCACCCAACGGGGCGCTCTGGGGGAGGTTCTGGCCATCCTCCCAGCAGGGAGCTCWGTGGTTCCTGGGAGCTCTTGTTCATCCTCCCAACTGGGAGCTTTATGGTCTGTGAGAGGCCTTTTCCATCCACCCAGTGGGATGCTCTGTGATCACTGGGAGGCCCTCTCTGTCCACCCCGTGGGATGCTTTATGGTCCATGGGAGGTCCTCCCTGTCTTTACAGCCCCCGAAGGTCTTGTCTGCCTTTATGGTCCGTGGGAAGTCCTGTCTGTCCACCCAAGAAGATGCTCTGTGGCCCCTGGGAGGTCCTGTCTGTCCACCCAATGGTCACTCTGTGGTCACTAGGAGGTCCCACCTGTCTGTTGCCCATGGGAGAGCCCCTCTGTCCACCCAGCTGGGTGCTCCATGATTCATGGGAGCTCCCACTCATCCACCCGTTAGGACACTCTGTGGTTCCAGGGGAGGTCCTGCCTGTCCCCATGGCCCCAGGAAGTCCTTTTTGCCCACCCAACAGGAGACTCTGTGGTCTGGGGGAGGTCCCACGGCTCTCTCTGACCCTTGGGAAGTCCTTCCGTCCACCCCCACGATCCATAGGATGTGCTCCACCCACCCATCCCGGCTCTCCATGGCTACGGGAGCTCCTCTCCACCCACCCAGCTCCCGCGGAGCCACCTGACTCCAGGAGCRTGATTTTGGTGGCTGTCGCCAGAATCACGAGGTGGAGGGGGACGACAGAGGTGTCACCTGTGCCCTGCCACCTCTACTACAGCCAGGGGGTGACTCGAAGTGGTCCCCACCCCAGGACTTGCTCCTCCTGCTGTTCCCAAGGAGGGACACGGGGACATCCTGGTCGCTCACAGCCACAATTTGGGGTGTCAGACRGGGGGCGCGGGGACCCCCCCMCGGGCCGGGAGCTCAGGAGGSATTAAAGCCGGGTGCGGGATCCGTCCCGCGGGCGAGGCAGCGGATTAATCCGGGACGGGGGGGACACGGCGGGGGGGACAGGGGGGCTCTGCCCTCCCCTGACTCCCTAAGCCTTTTTTTAATTGAAACCCCAATTCCTCATTAAGTCCCTCATTAAAGAGCATCCTGACCCGCCCCCCCCGCCCAGTGCCGCTGCAAGGGGGGGCCCCCCCTGGCTGTTGCCCCCCCAAGCCCCCCGGCCGGGCGCTGCCAGCCCCGGCTGCATTTTTCCGGGCTGCGTAATTCCTCGCCATCGGCTTTTATGGGCAGCGCCAGCGCCGGGGAGGAGCCTCCCGGAGCGGGATCCGGCCCGCCCGGGCCCCAGGTGACCCCCCCGGGGTGGCAGCAGGGTCACGACCCCCCCTCACTGCAGCCCCCCCTCGCCCTCYGTGCCTCAGTTTCCCCGCTTAGGGCTGTCCCCGTCACCCGGATGGGAACCAGAGCGACTACATCCTTCCTTCCCYTCACCCCTGCGATGGGCACGGCTGCAGGAAACCCCCTAAAAATGGCGGGATTAATTTAAAAAAACTCCCGAAATTTCGGGGCGAGGCGGCGCCGCGTCCCCCCGGAGCCCCGGGCCGGGGCAGGATTCGGCCGCGTCCCCGCGTCCCCCCGCGGCTCCCGCTTTAATCCCTGACGTCAGCCCGGGAGTTGGAGCCGGCAGCTGGCAGCCAGCGGGACCGCAGCACTGCCTGGCCGCCCCACAGCCCTGGGGGTCCCTGCCCGGCCCCACAAATCCTCCCACTGCACYTCTACCCTTCAAGTTAAAGGGGAGGCAAAAATCCCCTGGGATGTACCCCATTTGTGTTGGTGGATGTGGGTCCTGCCCCGTGGTGGGGGCTTGGATTTAGGATTAGTGGGATGGAGGGGCATTGCCCCCACACCCGGGGGTCCCGGAGAGGATGAGGCCCCAAATGAAGAGCTGTGACTGTTCTCAGCCTGCCCAGCCATGGGAAGCCCCCGGCCCCGCTCCCATGGGTGCTGTGGGTGCTYCCACCCAAGCCCACCTGGCTGCACYCYGCAGARGAATGGAGCTGCCAGCATGGGGGGCACATGGAGCCAATCCAGCGGGGGTCTGTACCCCCTGACCCTACAACAGGGGTTCTATGCCCACTGGTCCTAAAACAAGGAGTCCATGCCCCACTGACCCTATAGCAGGGGGGGCCTTGTGCCCCATCGACCCTATATCCAAGRGTCTGTGCCCACCAACCCTATATACGACAGTCTGTGCCCACCAGCCCTATAMTGGGGAGTCAGCGCTCCACTGACCCTATAGTGGGGTCCTATCTGATAGGTTATCAATCCTGTAATATGGGGTCTTGCCCCACCAGCCCTATAGAGGGGGGTTTGTGCCGCACCAGCTCTGTAAGGGGGGTCTGTGCCCACCAGCCCTATAGTGGAAGTCTGTGGCCCACTGGCCCTGTAATGGGGAGTCTGTGCCCCACCGGCCCTATAGGGGGGTTTGGGACCCCCCTGACCCTACAGCAGGGTGTCCACGCCCCACTGACCCCTCCTCTCTGTGCCGGCAGGTGCGGGAGATCCTGGGCTGCTGCTCGTGCCCCTCGCAGTTCCCCATGGTCAAGGTGTCGGAGGGGAAGTACAAAGTGGGTGACTCCAACACGCTCATCTTCGTCCGAGTAAGAGCCTCCCCCACCCCATTGTCCCCTCTTCACCCCATTGTCCCCTCACCCCGGGTCCCCCACCCACCCCAGGCCAGCTGGGGCCCATCCCAGGGTCCCCGTGGCAGGTGGGTGGGGTCCAGAGCTGGATTTCCTGCCCACGCTGGGGCCCTGGGGGGCTGCTGGTGGCTTTTTGGGGACAGGTGGGGTGACGGTGCTGCCCACAGGTGCTGAGGAGCCACGTCATGGTGCGCGTGGGTGGCGGCTGGGACACACTGGAACATTACCTGGACAAGCACGACCCGTGTCGCTGTGCTGCCCTCGGTGAGTGTCCCCGGGACCCCCGCACACATCCCCCCCTCGGCACCCTCCTGGCCCCTGGCYCTCTGTTCCTGGTTCATTTCTCCAWGGGTTCCATTCCCTGATTCTCTGCGGGACTCCTTTCCCCAGTTCTCTATGAGGTTTTGTTCCCTGATTTTTTTGGGGTTCTGTGCCCTGGTTCCCCATGGGTTCCATTCCCTGTT